AGCAACACTGGTTTGCAACATATAGGTAAATACTGTATAAATTATGTTAATTTTCCAACAAAACACCCAGAATTTAAGCATATGTAGAGACAAGGTAATTCTTCTTATTTAAGTATTGGCTGAACCCCAAGGGGTGAAAATAGAAAAATAAAATGATTCACTTACATTTACATACAATGCTTTTAATAAAAATGCCTGAAACCCAAAAGAGGCAGAGAACAATATGAAGCCTGCACAAAAATAAACTTAACCTGCTTTTACACATCTATCCTGCACTCTAATGCGTATTCATGTTTTATCAAAAAAATAATCTCTAGCCATCTGTTGGTTTTATCAAGACAGTTTAGAGTACAGCTCAAATTAAAATGCTATGTGAGTGCTTTTTGTATTAAAAAGGTAATTCTGAATGACTCACAAATGAGTCACCCACCAAACCTCTATAAAAAAGACTATCTTGCAAAAAGGGAGAGAACTCTTTGGTTATTACACCCTACATTCACCATTCCTTGGAAACAATAGAGGAAACTAAGATGCAAGGAATGATATTTCATTTTTAGGGTATCTAATAGGTATTCAACCTTTTGCATTAGTTATTCTAGTCAGATATATTAGGCAAGTACATAATGAAATTAGTAAATGATCTGCTGTCTGCACATCTCTAACAATCACTCATCTCTTGAGTTTCTATTTGCTATAGTAATCCGTACACAATTAAAGATATAATATTGCATAGAAGAACAGCTATTGCATATCCTGCTAAGAGCTTCTACATAGTTCTGCAGGAAGCTGCAATAGTGCACTACTTGCTCTCTCACCCTCCTGACGTACTCTCTGCAGTAATCTGGTCGATAACAGTATTACAACGCATGTCCACTACCTCAAGACACATAGGAGACAGCCTGAAATGTAAACCCATTCGATGGGCTGACTAAGCCCTTTCTGACTGACAGCCCCTGGGGACAAGGTGTCAGGTACTAGGCTGAAATTCATAGCTTCAGACACTAACAACTGCGTAGCGATGCATCTTTTTTGTCATTTCAATTATAGATCCTTGTCTGATGGAAACGAGCTAGTAAATTATCTCCATTGAGCAAGGAAAAGCGGGGTTTTTACACATACACATGCACTCTCATACACACAAAATAGGCTATTTATAATTATCTGAGCAAGACAGACTGGGACCATGATAGAGAGGGTGGAGGTGCTGCTATGTTGTTTAACTCTTTGGCAGCCAGAACAGGGAGATTAAAGACTCTAGAAGATTTTCTTTAATTCTAAGGATTTCTTGCTTGACCTTTTAATATTTTAACAAAAGTCACATTTTGTAGCCAACATAAAAGGTGACTTCAACATTTTTTTTCAATTACACAACCTACTAATATTAGCAGTTTTATCAGTTATTCTGATTCAAGCATATTAGAGCTACTTTGCATATTAATATCCACTATTTATGTTAGAGTGACTGCATTGTGAACTTCAGGCTAATCTGATGATGATCCATACATCCATTGTACTTCATCCAATTCAGGGTCATGCAGGAGCTAGAGCCTATCCCGGCACAAGGCAGTGGGGCACAAGGAAAGGTACACCCTGGAGGGGATGCCAGTCCATCGCAGGACAGATAAAGACACACACCAGGGCCAATTTTTCCAGGAGCCAATTAACCTACTATTGCATCTACAGCCTCTGGGAGGTAACAAACACCTGGAGGAGGGCCATGTGAGCACAGGAAGAACATACAAACACCTCACTGACAGCATCCTAGGTCTGAAATTGAGCCCAGGGCTCCAGTGCTCTAGGCAGCAATGCTAACCACTGTGCCACCATGCCGTGATTATTCTTAAAATAAAAACTTGTTTGAACAAATGAATAAATGATGGAGAGGATCTGCAGGAGTCCTTCATGTTATCATTCCTGCATCTGGGTCCAACTTTCAACCAGTTTCAACTTTCCCTGTATCTTCAGTGTTGTTTTCCCTGTATCTTTCTGTTGTCTTATGCCCTCTCTTTGCAAGGACATTTTTCAAGAGTTAGGTCACCATTGTCACCCAGTCTTGCATACGTTTGATGGGTGGAGGGGGCTACACTTCAGTGATCAGCTCCATCTTGGAATTAGTCCAGCATATTTTAATCGCTGTGTAGAACTGTGAACCGTAACTGACATCTTTCATTATAGTGTATTCAAATCACAGCCATACTATGTGTGTGGGGTATATGGTAAAGCCTTCATAAAGATGTGAAAACAACAAGCACTATGACTGCAAAGCAAGCAGTACATCTCTAAAGAGGATAAAAATATAATTTTAAAAAATGATAAAAAGCAGAGCTCATTGACAAATTGGCACGAGCCAGCATGGTGCTTTTTAAAAGGCTGAAATCAAGCTATATCTGGGAAAATCAACTGTGTAATGCACACGAATAAGAGGCAGTGGAATGAATTCATTTGCTGTGATGATCATCTTTGTCCAGGATAAAAGAAATGCAGTAGCAAAGAAGCTCAACTTAAGATTAGAGAAAACATTCATGAAATATAGTTAATTCAAGAATTAATTTTGTTCACATGTGGTGGGAATAAAACTTTTAGTAAAACATTTGCTTCTTTATACACATTTCAAACTTCAGAATGTTAAATTTCAGGTGTTTATAGATAAGAGAATTAAAGAAAAAAAACAGTGTTACAATCAAATCACAAAAGCAACCTGAAATACACAAGATTACAAGATACACAGAATATAACCTAACATAACAACAGTTACCCACGGTCACATTGATTGCCAAGTTCCTTTTTAACATTAACTTTAGAATATTATTTATTCAAACAAGTGTAAAATTATATTTTGTAAGAAAAAAATGATCATTCTAACCAAATTTTGCCATGGTGTGGCTTTTTGTTAGAAACAGTGACTAAAAAAAACAATACCAGAGGCTAAATGGTTCCCTGAAAATACACACAAATCCCATGAGAGAAAACTGCATGGTAATTTGAAAATAAAGATCCTTAACATTAATTAACCTCTCTGAATCCTTCTTATCTCACACAACAAACACAGCTTTCTAATAACAGTGCAACAGCACCTGACAGTGAATTACGGGGTATTTAAAGACCGGGATCCTGAAGAATGGGGATAAAGTATTTCAATTCAGTTTCAAAAAGGGCAGTGTAATAGCATTTTCCAACAACTGAAGGCCGTCTGCTTCTTTATTGTCTGATGAAAAGCTTCACTGAAAATAATCAGAATCATACTGCAGGATTCCCTATGTGTTATAGTAACAACAACAACAACATGTCACACTTTTGTTTTCTTCTTTGCCAGTTATTGATTTCCAGTAAGTCAGTGTGAGAAAAGAATAACTACTTTCATTTAAGGCTGAATCTAATGGGGTCATACAATTATATACATTTTCTGGAAACAAAGACTGGAATTATAAAGCACAATGCTATTTAACAATCTTCCTCTCATGTACTGACAACCTTAACGATGTGCCAGAGGACACAGATCGAGAGTAAGGGCAAAAGCATTAAGAGTCATAGGAGTTGGACAGCTGAGGATCTAAGAGTCAATGGCTCGGCAAAGGACCAGCAAGTGAGACAGCTATGGACGTGTGGCAAACCTTCTAAAATTACATTTTAGGCTATTTTCTTCCATCCTTCCATGTTCTAAATGTTTTCTCCAGTACTGTGGGAGAGCCAGAGCCTGTCCTGGGAAAGCAAAGGGCACAAGTCAGGATACACCCTGGATAGGAACACACAGAGACACAAACACGCACACACTCACATCAGGGCCAATATTCCCTAGAAGCCAAATAACCTACCAGTATGCCTCTGGACTGGGGGAGGAAAATACGAACGCAGGGAGAACATACCAACTCCAGATAGAAGACACCCCACTGTGCCACTCTGGCCTATTTTCTTTTGTACCCAAAAATTCCACCAAGTGAACTAAAGTATGAGATATCTTTTTCAAACACTTGGTTAAGAAAGTAAAAATACATTACAAGAATACATAGAGCTACAACTAGGAATCCAAGTACAAAATCAGTATTCAATCACAAGACTTGGACAATTATCTTATGGATAAGCTCCTGAACTGAACAATTTGAACCCAAGGCAAGCACTAAGCTAGTACTGAGCTAGAGAACAGTAATGGCGTATTTGTGTTGCAAACATTATGATTCCAACAACATTTCTTAAACCTGCTCATTTAAAAATGCAAATGTCTTCAACCTGACAAACATTTGACTATTTGAAAATTTGAGTTTTGAAATAAATGTCTAGATATTAACCTAGAGAAAACTCATGAGCAGTTACTGCAGTATAATGAGGTTTAAAATTGAGAGCGGTTAAAGTGAAAAAATAATCACTATTTTCAAATTTCCCCTTTAACAGGCTTTACGGAGACGTGTCACTTATAATGGACATAAACCAATTAAAATGTGGTAATTGATCTATTGCCTTTACAACAGGGGTCTCTAACACTGGTCCTAGAGAGCCCTAGTTGATAATCTTACAGATCATCTTAAGTGAACTGTTTTTTATAGATAAATACTTCTAAGCAATGATCAAAGGGATTTCTTGTACTTT